TATTCTGTTTCTTTTCTACATGTATGTGTGTGGGTACATGTATGTGCTTGTGGTTGACAGTGGAGGTCTTCCTCCATCCCTCTCCATCTTATGCTTTGAGTCAGGTCTCTCAGTTAAACACAGAGCTCACTGATATGTCTAGTCTAGCTTGCCAGCTTACTCTGGAGATCCTGTCTCCACCTTCCAAGCCTAGAATGGAAGATGGCCATGCCCATCGGGCATTTACAGTGGTTCAGTAGATCTGAATTCCTGCTTATGTAACAAGTGCTTTAACCACTGAGCCATCTCCCCAACCCCTCCACCTTATTTTTTGGAGAGAAGAACATGTCACTGAACCTGGAACATTCTGATTCAGCTAGACTAGCTGTCCAGGAAGCTCCAGGGATCATTCTTTCTTGATTCATGGGCATGTGCCACCACTTAGGAGAAGCCCTGGCTTTGGTGGGACACTAGGGATCCAACCACTGGTCCTTGGGCTTCTGTGGCACTCGCTTTACTGAGCCAGCTCCCCAGCCTTTCCTTGTCTTCTGGTTTTATAACTGTTTCTTTCTATCAAGTGTCTCCTAGTCTGTCTTCTTTGTGCCACCTTTAACAAGGAAATCAGTAGAGCATAGCTACTTACAGGAAACATCCTGTATACTCAGAGGTTAATAAGAAACGTTGAATGAGGGAATCATAACTTTGTGAACAGCCAGGTGGCCCTGTAATGGATGGTAGATCTTCAAGAGATTGTCAAGGACCTGGTCATGCTCCCATCCCAGATACAATGGAGGGAAGGTAGGTGTGACTGGAACCTAGCGAAAGCCATGGGCAAGGGACAGGATCCTCATAGCGTCTCACAGGAGTTATGACCTTAATCAAAGGACATAAATCCTACTAGAACCACATCTTTGAAAAGAGAGATCAGAGGGTAAGTGCCTCGGCCTCCCTGGTCTGATCTTCTGCTGACTCAAATGGTAGCCTGAAGACCAGGAGTCTCGCTCCTTAGAGATTGGCCTTCAGAAGCCCGAGGCAGCAGGGCAGACCAGGAGAACTGAGCATACCGTCTGCCCAAGTCCTCATCCTTAGACTACCGTCTGATGCCACCTGTTCTGGCTCCTGCCTACCTTTCTGACTTGTCATCCTGTGAACATGGGATTTTCCTGTTTCTATACCCCACAGCCCCCAGTTAAACTTCCCACAAAGATGTGATACATGAACAGATTTGTGTTGGCCGAGTGGTAGATCTAAGGCAAGCAGTGAGTCTGATAGGGGAAGGAACTTACTGGCTCACACTGATCACTAAGGATGGCTGTTACTGTGTACATGTTACACAGAAACCTTGATGTGATGGTCTCAGCTAGAGACGGCTGCACTTCTTCACTGTCCAGGAAAGCTAATAACCTGGGGAAGTTTTCCCACTGTTTGTGGTAGGTCTGTTGCTACAGCCACCCATGGAATGTTGGGAAAGCCTCTCTGAGCTTCTGTTTTCTCAACTTTTAAGAGAAGATTTTATGAACTTAAAGACAGACTAATCCTGGGCTGGAGAGATGGCTCAGCGGTTAAGAGCACTGACTGCTCTTCCAGGGGTCCTGAGTTCAATTCCCAGCAACCACATGGTGGCTCACAACCAACTATAATGAGATCTTGATGCCCTCTTCTTGGTGTGTCTGAAGATAGCCACAGAGTATTCATATAAATAAAATGAATAATAAAAAAAAAGACAGACTAATCCTGATTATCGGCTGTATCATGAATATTAGCTTGGGAGTTACCTTTGTGATCCTACACAGCTGTTAGTTTGTTTGATTTGTGTGCAGGAGGGTATGGTTCATGCATGTAAATGTATGGGTGCCCACATCTATGCATGTGGATATGGAGGCCAGAGAAATATGCCAGGTGGCCACCTATTACTCTTTACCTTTGGGTCTTACACTGAACCAGAGGCTTACCATTTGGCCAGGCTGCTGGCCAGCAAGCTCTTGGGAACCACCTGTCTCTGCATCTCAAATGCTGGGGTTTCAGGCAAACAAAGCCACACCTGGCTTTTTACATAGGTGTTGAGGATTTGCATTCAGGTCTTCATGTTTATATTACAAGCACTCTTACCCCTGAGCTATCTCCATAGTCCCCACTGTTTACTTACCTGTTTGCTTGCTTTGACTGCTTCTGAATATTAGATATCACTAGTTCCATTGGTTATTTGAAAATGAAATGTTGGGCTAGTAAGTTGACTCAGTGGGCATAGATACTTGCTGCACTAGCCTGATGACCTTAGTTTGATTCTCAGAATCCGTGATGGAGAGAACTAACTCCCAGAAATTGTTTCCTGACCTCTACATATATGCCTTGATATGTGCATGTCTACGCTCAGACACACATAATAATAAGCATTTTAAATTCAAATCAACATACAACTTTGAGCTGGTTGTGGTAGTGCTTTTGGTAGGCACAAGTTGCAGAGTTACGAGTTCAAGGTCATCTTCAGCTACATGCTGAGTTAGAGGCTAGCCTGAAATACATGCGATCCTGTCTGAAGGAAAAAAAAAGTTTTTGCTGGGCAGTGGTGGGATATGCCTTTGATCCCACTTTGATCCACTTGGATGGCAGAGACAGGAAGATCTTTGAGTTTGAGGCTAGCCTGATCTACAGAACGAGTTCCAGGTCAGCCAGAGCCACACAGGGAAAACCTGTCTTGAAAAACAAATAAACAAAGATTTTTTTGCTCTCTGCTTCCAGACTGTGGACTCCATGTAACCAGTTCCCTCCTGCAGCTGTTGTCTGATGCTGTGATGAGTTGTCCCTAGAACTGTACGCCAAAAGAAGCCCATCTTCCCTTAGAAAACCAGCAAACATAAAACAGTGCATCTCAACATATTTTCCACGTAGTTGGAAAAAGAAAGACTAATCTCTATTCATACCTGACAACAAATCTTTTTTTCTCTTTTAAAAAATGTTAGTTGGCATACAAAATAATGGGGTAACTTACAGCATTTTCAAACATATATATCACTGTACTTTGCTCCTCTCTCTCTCTCTCTCTCTCTCTCTCTCTCTCACACACACACACACACACACACACACACACCCCACAGCTTTTACAGAGGTGTTAGGTCAAAGATAGATAACTAGTCTTTTAAAAGATGAGCACAGAGGCTGGAGAGATGGCTCAGCAGTTAAGAGCACAGCTGCTCTTCCAAAGGATCCAAGTCCAATTCCCAGCACCCACACAGACATGCATGCAGGCAAAACACAAAGCACCAATGTACATAAAATAAAAATTAAATTAAAAAAAGGGGGATGAATGCTGTTGCTACACTTGACAGCACATACCTATGAGGGCAGCTCTAGGAAAGCTGAGACAGACACTTTGTTGTGAGTTTGATGTCAGCCTGAGTTACACAGTGAGTTCTAGACTATAGTATGTATGGAACATTGTCTCAAAACAAACAAACAAAAACGAAAACTTCCTGCCGTGCAGGAAGTGCCTATTCATCCAGCTTGCCTAGCTTCATGCCATATGTCTTCCTCAGAGGCCTCTTCATGCGTGTTAAGCTACCCTTGAGTCAGTGGAAGTAAAACAGGTTATTAAAAAATCTAACACATCACCAGTGTTTAAATATATATATCTCCTTGGGCAATAGTGGCACTTGCCTTTTAATCCCAGCACTTGGGAGGCAGAGGCTGGTGGATCTCTGAGTTTAATGTCGGCCTGATCTATAAATCAAGTTCCAAGACAGCCAGGGCTACATAGAAAAATCCTGTTTTGAAAAAAAAATTGTGTGTATATATGTACACGTGTGTGTGTGTGTGTGTGTGTGTGTGTACACAATAAGATACACGCAGAGACCAAAACAGGGCTGAGGATGTGCTTTATTTGGTAGAAAGCTTTGTCTGGCATTTATGAAGCCCCGGGTTCAGTCCCTAGCACCTAAAACTAAACGTGGTTCATAGGTTGGGACCACACTAGGATACACAAGACCCTGTCTACAAATAAGTAAATAAATAAATATCCTAATGTTACACATAAAGAAACAAAACAGAAAATACCGAAGGATCTGGAATTGCCAGCTGCCTATGCCATGCTCACTTCAGTGGTTCACAAAGACACAGGCATATTGTCCAGGAGTACAGGATGCTGCAGGGCTGCCCTGTAAACCAGGATTTCCCTTGTTTTCAATGAGTGTGTGGTGAATGTCTTTCAGGTAGGTGGTTGAGGTCTCTGTACCTCATGGTTTTAGTGGCCCCAGGGTTATTTATCTAACGGATCACTTTTGTTAGTTACCCTGGTTTTCAGTCTTTTTGTTTGTTTTCTTTTGTTTCATTTGAGACAGAGTCTCTACATAGCCCTTTATCCTGGAACTTGGTATATACGCCAAGCTGGGCTTGAACTCACTGAGGTCCACTTGCCTCTGCTTCCTGAGTGCTATTATAGGTGTGTGTGACCATGCTTGACTTCTTTTTTTTAATTTTTTTTTCAGCCTTTTTTGAGACAGACTCTTGTTCATATGCTGGCCTTACGCATACAATACTCCTTCCTCAGACTTCCAAGTGCTCCAGGGTAAATCTCTGTTTACAAAAAAAAGAAAAAAATTTTTCTTTTTGTGTTTTTGGTTTGGAGTCTCAAACTCTATATACTCAGGTACACACACACACACACACACACATACACACACATGGTTTGGAGTCTCAAACTCTATATACTCAGGTACACATACACACACAATTGGTTCTTAGAAGAAGGAAGTCTAACGGTGAATCTTGTTTTGTGGTTGAAGCCCTGGCCAGGGTTAGTCAGAATAAAGATTTGGCCCTGCTTCTCATTAGTTTGCTTGTTTTCTCTGTGTCCAGTAGGTGACTGCAGTATCCAGTGTGCCAGGAACAAGATTCTTCAGCTTTTTACTTTGGAAAAATACTTTATTTGTGCATTGGAGACAGAGAACTTGTTGATTCCAAGTTGCCTTAGAGTCTAGGCTCCTCTGAGTGTCGTGTCTGCCACTGACCAGTTCTTTCTGTTTTAGGAGCCATGTTTGATCAGGACTGCGGGAAGGTCAGCTCCATCCTGGGGACCCTTGTAAGGACATGAGTTGTTGAGCAGAGGCCAGGATGAAGCTGCTGCCAGGAGTGGGTGTGTTCGGGACTGGCAGCTCAGCCCGGGTCCTAGTCCCGCTTCTGAGGGCAGAGGGCTTCACCGTGGAGGCCCTGTGGGGAAAGACTGAGGAAGAGGCAAAGCAGCTGGCCGAGGAGATGAACATTGCCTTCTATACCAGCCGGACGGATGATGTTTTGCTGCATCAAGACGTAGACCTGGTTTGCATCAATATCCCACCTCCGCTCACCCGGCAGATATCCGTGAAGGCTCTAGGTATGCACCATCATGCCACAGCCGGCAGACTGTTTCCTCCTCTGGACGGTCCTCCACAGCTCACTGCCCTCTCCTAGGCCTGGCTGTTCCTTCTTTGTCTGCATCTGTGGGTAGTGGTGCTTTGGGATATGGCCAGGGCAGAGGTGGGGAGGGCATGCTGGAGAGTCTAAAAGCTCTAAAGAGGAGTAAAGGGCACAACACTCTCCACTCCCTGTTCACCACTAACCCTCGAGCAGAAGCTCAGCCCATCAAGGAGCTAGAGACGGCTGCACTCCTTCACTGTCCAGTGTGCCTCTGGGAAGTCAGCATTCCCTGAACCCTCAGACACAGCAGTGGTGGCTGTGTTTGTTCTATCCTGCTGTAGCACACAGCACCACAGGAAGGAGAGGAGGTGGCCTAGGAGGCTTCTGTTTCCCATGCTTGGTCAGCCCTTGGCTGTAATGAGCACCACCCTTCCTGGCAAACTGTAATCTCTGTTACCAGACAGCAGGAAGGCTGTCCGTTAGGCCTGGCTTTCCTGACAGAAACCACAGGACAGCCTGCTCACATGTCCACTTTCGGGAAACTGTGGGCCTGGGGACCTTCTGGCCCTGACTGGATGTGGCCTGGTGAGCTGTTCTTGACTATAGGCAGATTCTTCTTCTCATCATATAGATCTTGAGATAAGAGTTTACTGTGTAGCTCAGGCTGTCCCCCAATTCACAATCCTGCCTCACCCTTCTGAGTGCTGGGATTAGTTATATGTGCCACTGCTCCTGGCTTCGTTTCACCTCTCTTTTCCTCTCCCCTCCCCTCCCCTCCCCTCCCCTCCCC